TCAAGGTTGTGATTTATAGCCATGAAGGGTGTGTGTGAAGGTAAACAAAAACCCAATACAATACATATCCACACTATAATTATGACCCCCGCATGCGAAGTGTAAGCAGGAGTCATATTGTTTTTGTACTGGTTTTTTTTTTGTCAGTGATTTTTGATCAACCATAACACAAAAACAGCTGCACCAATTAACATGAAATTTGGCAGGACTGAGTCTGACCTTCACTGGGTCAGCCAACGGTTTTACGATAGACCCCATATTTGAGGAGGGGGCTCCATTCAAAGAGGGGGTGTCAGGACATGCAAAAATGCTTATAACTCAGAAAATTTTCAACATAGAAGCTTCAGATTTATTTTGTTGTTTAGCTCTGATGAAGCTCTATCCATCAGGCACACCAATCAGTGCCCCCCACCCCCTGGACCCCCAAATGATCTGAAAAAGTTGTATCTGGACATACAAAAATGGTTATTGCTCAAAAACTATTAAACATAGGAGCTTCAGATTTTCTTTGGTTGTTTAGCTTGGATGAGGGGCTATCCTCCAGGTCAACCAATCTCTCCCCACCACCCCCAAAAAAAGGAAGAAAAAAAATTGACCCCCACCCAAACCACTACAATTTTGGGATGCACCTAGTAGCATGACATTTATTAGGAATGAAGACTTCTGAGTTCTGGTTTATCTGTGCGAGCGGGGGACATTATGTTACTGCTATGTGGTGTCTAGTTTCAGTTTTATAGTACAGTGATGTCTTATGTGTTTTTGTTAAATTTCAACTTTCTACAACAGACACACACCCATAGTTGTGCAGCCCTAATCGAAGCGAAACAGACAACACTCTCCTGATAATTAGGACTGAACAGACACAAGAAGCTGTTGAATGAGTGCCTGTCGTGATTCTTTTGTTTTCAGCCCAGATATTTGTTGGTGAGCAGAATGACAGTAATGCAGTCCTGCCACTTTGTGAAGAGAGTTTGGAGGATGTCTTATTGTCACTCCTAAAACATGGTGGAGGAGTGACAGTCAGATGTCCTCCACCCTCTCCTTAAAATAACCCCTTCATGTTAAACATGACTTATATCTTTGAAGTGGTTACTGTACAGTATTTTTATATATTTGGGAAGAAATAAGAAATATGTGACCCATCACATCGAAACGAGGATTGAGTCCAAAAGTGATGTATGGAGAAATAGGCAGATATAGTATTTTGACTAAAATGTTAACAAAAATTGCATTTTGTCAAAATAAAATGAATAAAATCCTTATCAATGTATCAGTTGAATGAACTGTCTGAAATATAATTATAAAACAAAATTCTGAAGCACTTTTTTGAGCAGTAAAAAAAACTGCTTTTGAGAAAAAACGCCTTAAAATCTTGACATTTTCCCTGTGAGCTAGCAAAGTTTTGTTTCTTTTCAGCTGGGAAATCTCAATATTCAAATATAATTTGAGGTTTCCTCTTTATAAGGACGTCAAAAATTCCTCATTAAAATGACATCAAATTAGGATTCAGACCAAATCTTTATGTATTATTGTAACCAACAAGACAAATTAAGTCATATATATGGATTTAATTATGATATCAGAATGATCCAGGTATCAAAAGGTAGCCTTTAAAGCCAAGAATCTGAAAATGTAATTAGGTCATTTTGACCAAATTTCCCTTAATCCTCATTTTGATATGATGGGTCACATATATAATACTCACAGCTGAATCAGAAACGGTGTGCTTTAACTTTCTTAATTTTTGTCTTCTTTCACCCAGCGTACATTTCTTAAATGTTCTCAAACATTTAAGGCGGGTGGTTAAAGTCATTCTCCACTGAGAGAATTCAGGGTTTGATTCCATTTTTATTCAGTGTGTCCCTGGAAGTGTCCCTGGACAAGAAGCTGAACCCCTCATTGCCTCTGATGTGTCCCATCATGTGATCTAAAGCACCGATTAGTCTCTAGAATGATTGATCCAGAATAGCTTTGTAGAGACTTAGTAGAGAATGTGTGTAAATGGGTAAATAAGTGCCCAGATCATGTTATAACTCAAAGCCTTTGAGTAATCCTGGTTGGATAGAAAGGCACCTTATATGCATTTACCAAAGTGCAGAGTGAAAACATCCAAACTCATTGACTTCCATTGCATCTGAGCTCAGTTTTCTCTTTAAAACAGGAAGTGAAGCAACTATTTTTAACCTCATATCTCCTGCATAAAATAAAACACCGTATACCCGTTAGAAACCAATACATTTGACGACACTTAAAGTTCAAACTCTCTTCCAATATGACTAGTTGTTTTTGCAACAAATGTTTTTGAAAGCTTACTTTCTATTCTGTTTTCTGTCTGCCTAGCTCACAAAAAATGCTGTCATTATGTTTACATGTGCAAAATTCTTTGATTAGATTGAAATGCATTTGGATTAAATAATCCAAACGTATTGTTTATATGGGCACAGATTTARTAAATCTGATTGTGATGATCATTTACACGCATCAGGCTTTTATTTAGACATGCACAGAGGTGTAAACTTTCACCAAAAATCCACAGAAGTTTTACTTTCGTGATGAACACAAACAACCGTTCTGTGTTGTTCTTCCAACTTCCATACTTGCCTAAATAACTCTGTTTACACTTTTGAAATCAAGCCGTTCGATAATTTTAAGCTCTAATAGAAATGTTGTATCATAAACCAAACAATTGTTTGCATGCACGCCGTTCGGATTATCTCATTCGGATTGGGCTGTTTACGTGATGCATTTTTATTCCGATTGGCAGTTTATTTCGATTACTTATGTTTATGTAAACACATAGTGAGTGACAGGCTTGTGCTTGCCATGGTGGCCCAATGGAGCCACTGGCAGCAGCTTCAACATTTTGTTTTCACATAGTTCATTCACCAAAATGCAGACATTTTTTCCAGCTTAGATTATCACAAAAGTAAATCCTTAATTAGCTTTACAAAATAAAACGGATGCTTACTAAAATTCTGACCAGTAGCTATTTTTGTATTCCTAATTATTTTCCACTTATTGTACTTTAGAGAATAAAGACAATAATTATCACGTTTTTTTCCCCTTCATAGCAGATTTGAAAGTGAGCATTATGTAGTAAATTCACAAAAATCAAAGCAGAGCTCTTTTTTTATGAGCACGTATTGATCAGCCACAACATTAAGACCACTAACTGGTGCTGAAAGAAGTGCAGCAGATCATTGATCTTAAAGCTCAGTGTTCCAATGGGACAGCCTGCATCCGTCATTTATGGATGACACTTCGACACCTTAATGTTTCCTGATTGATCACACCCACTACTAAACTAAAAGATTAGGGTCACTCACCTAGTAGCACCCATTCCCACCCCTCATCAGGACTGCAGTAATACGTATCACCTCAAACCAAGTAGAAATGGAGGGAAAAATACTCTTCAGCGATCAGCTGATCTCTGGCGGGGTCGGATGGAACATCTGTTAGAAACACAGACCCCACCTCACAACCTATAGAGTATAATGATCTCTTTCTAAGTTTACACGCATGGCAGAGAACCAGGGAGCTCCGCTGTTTCTCTTTCAGCTCCTCCACTCAGCAGAGGGTTGGCACAGTGGGTTGACCCACATGAGAGATTTGACAATTGTTTTATGATGAACAACCTTCCTGACGCAGCCTGGACTCAAACCCACAGCCTCAGGAATACAGGCCTTAGCTACACAGTATAAAGTAGGGCTATTCAACTGGTGGCCCGCGGGCCACATCCGGCCCRCGAGTGACCAAAGTTTGGCCCGCCAATTGGCTCATTCATCTCTTAAGCTCAAACCCTGGGTTTTCTACTTTAATTATTATAAATTCTTATAGTTAAACATAGACATGTTTGGTATCTACAAAAATATCAGTATCATGGCTAGAAGCTGGTGAAAAACATTTCTATGAACACCCAAGACAGTCAAAACTACAAGAAAATAAAAACTATGAAATTGAAAATAAAATTGGTTTAAAAAATTTGGCCAGTAAGAGATGTTAAAATTATATTTGTGTTAAATAGGAGGCATAATGTGTTATTTCTGTTTTTAATTTTGTTTTATTATCACTACTTTATTTACATAGGGTTCTATATTGTATTCATGATTAAATACAGCAAAAATAATGAATTTCAAATGTAATAAAGCTTTGTAATACTTGGTTTATTTACGTGACTTTAATTGTTGGATGTTTGGCTCCTGTGCTGTTGACCTGCATTAACTGTGGCCCCCGGAGCAGTTTAGTTGAATAGCCCTGTTATAAAGTGTTAATGATTGTTTGTCTTTGAAATAAATCTCAGCAACTTCAGGGCATCAAGCGAGTATACTCGTTAAAAAAATATGCATGCCCATTTTAAATGAACTGACACAAATTTAATGTTAAAAGAGGAGCTTTAGATCTGCAATAAACCRGATGTTGGTTTGTATTTCCAACCAAAGCAAATACAGTTTATTCATCTTATCTTAAGCACAAGAATTTGGAAGTACTATTTGGAATACAAAAGTAACACATTTACTGTGAAACTAGAGTTCATTTTAATCAATTTCTTAGTTCGTTTATATAAGAAAAGAAGATTAAAAAGAAAGAAAAAGATTTTGGAAACTTTTTTTCCCCTTGAAGTTAAATTAAATTCAGGGGAGCTGTTTTTTAATAACCTGATTCACTCAATGAGAACTAATGTTTTTATTCACAAAATGAACAAATTCAAAATAACTTATTTGCTCTTCCATGCTCCTTCATCTTGATTTATTTTCCCTCCATCCACCTCTTCATACTTTTCGTTCTTGATTTTTGTCCGTCATCCTGTCCTTCCCTTCCTCCCACCTCCGTCACTCATTGCCCCCATCGTTGCCTCGCCTCCGCCTTGTCGGCTTTCCGCTCCTCTCTCCCTCTTCCTAATGAAAGAAAGATAGAGTTTTGAAAAGGGGGGAGAATGAGAGAAGGAGGAGGAGGAGGATGAAGGGGTGGGTCTTTATAAGAGCAGCTGCCTGCAGCTTCTACGTAGCCAGAGAAACACAACCCTACGCTGAGATCGAGGGGAGGAAACAAACACTGACCCTTCTGTGCGGACCCCACGTAGCCACCTACAATCTCAACCCCCAGCACAGGTAAGAAACACCTGAGGGAGGTCGTTCAGGAGAAAAAGAAATGGCGTAACCTTTGACCTTTACTACAAAATCTTAAAACAGGCATTCAGAACTGTTTTTAATATTTGTGATGTTACAGTGTAGAAATAATTCTCTCATCTATGATTTGAGTTTAATAGCATCAATGAGACAAAAGAATGAAAGGTTTTAATGACAGTTATCATCATAGTTTTCAGCCAGACTTGTCTTCCTTACTTTATCATCTCCAGATGATGGGGATGTTGATGTGATGTGACGTTCTGATGCCTGAACTTGTGATTTTGTCCTCCACGAGGGCCAGCTGCTGGCTCTGAGTTCTGTTCATCAGGACCAAGTGTCTCTAACGAGGACTTGGTTTGCAATCGCAAAGATATTTTATTTTTCTCTGATCTACCTGGGCTGGGTCTGGCTGTGTTTGTCAGAAAAAGCTAAAACAATATTTCAATGATTTTTGTTCCTTGCACATTATTTAAAAGCTTATTTAACCATAATTAATGTAGCTGTTGTTGATTGCAGCGTTTCTCTGTCTTTTACCAGTTTCATGAAACACTGGATGAATTTAAATAAAACTTGCAGGAAAAAAATTCATTGTATGGCTCTTTACAACAGATTAGATGTCTGCACCAGTCTAAACCATGATGGTCACCACAACCCAATTAAGGTAGAAAACGCATAAATAGCAGCAATTCAGCAAATTATGTTTATTTTGTGCTAAAATCTGGTGTGGTTGTAGATGAGAGTAATTTGCAACACATGGTCCAAGTGGTTCACATTGTGCACAATCTTACTTTGTATTTTAGCATTACTTTTGGTAATCTTCTTACTAAAATATTGCAACTTCAATATACTAATCAGTGGATGTTAACAACTACKWCTGATTAACTTTTGGAGTTAGTCAAATTCAAGATGTTCGTCACAACTAATCACCAATAGTCAAGACAAATTTATTATTAATATTATTTTGTTACTTTTTTGCAGATAATGAGCTCAAGCTAGGTGTAACAGTAGCTGAGAGTCATAAAAATTCATACTCTGTACTGACAGATCAGGTAAGATTTTTGTTTAACATGTTAGATGGCAATATATGTATTTCTTCAAGCAAGATTACATATTTTAGTAGCAGTAATCATTTTTTTTGCGTACCACCTTTCCTTACTTTTATCATTTGTTTGTTTCCATCAGACAACTTGTGACATTCCAATGTTTTTCTTAGGTTTGACCAAAATTGCTACAATTCTCAATCAGTTATTTTTTTTATGTTACAACAAATTCAATCAATATCTGATCTGACTCCTGGCAACAGTGTTGAAGCTATAATTCGCAGTGGAAAAAAATTGCTAATATTTGGCTCTTTTTACGCTAACGAAGTGTGAACAAGTGACAATGAATCCACAAAATATTGCTTTTTAAAATAATTTTTCTTCACAGAAAAATAAAAAGTGCAGACCATAATTGATTAAGCCTTCCTTCTTGTTAACCACAGTGACAGACAGGCAGCGTACAAAAAAGCAAGTTACAGTCCAGTGAATTCAAGATTTAGAGCAGAATTAGTGCAGTGACGGTCTTCCCACAATGCTCCTGGTGAAGTCCTTCAGGTGTGAGTGGGTTAAAAGGCAGGGAGACTACTAAACACAGAGGTGAGGTGTCAGTGTGTGAAGTGCACTGGTATTTCACAAAGAGGCAGGGAAAGGTCATAAATGGCTGGCTGTGATTAGTCATTAAGCTGTGATTTACTGTTGCTCTGGGTTCTGTGAATGGATGGGGAGTTTTCACAGAAAGGTCCGGTTTGCGTTGACTCTGCAGCTCAAGATGTAGGATAATGTCAGGTAATTGTTGTGTGCTGACGTAGCTCAATCAGCAGATTTAGGTAAAGTCACTTCAACAACAGTCTGTTTTTAGACATGCCTGAAAATTATGCTGTTCTATGACAATTTTCTTATGAAATCTTTCATCAGAAAACACTTCTGACTTGATTGCAAACAAAATAATATTTAAAAGTGTTTCTTAGGCACTGTGACAGATGGATTTCAAGTAAGACCTATACAGTATTATTACATATAATGAGGTGCAAGATGTGCTGAAGCCTGCTTCTGTCTCACTATATAATAGGTTTTAGGATAAAATCAGGATATATTTGTGGAGTTTAGTGAAAAAAAAGAGGTGTGAAGGTAAATGGATCTGCCTAACAGATTTTATTGATCTCATGTGATCTGGCCCCAGCTGTCTCATTGTTTTTAGCAGACTGCTGTGGTCTTTATTAGCCTGAACCATTCAAGGGTATAGGGCTAATGAAGCAGGCTAGATGGGACTGAATTAGTTCAGATCTTCTGAAGCGGGTTTTGTGGATAAGTTATAAAAGCAATGATATCTTACCTGCTGTGGATAGCTCTTTAAACAACCTCAGATTAGGGAAGCGGGGTTTCAATCTAACTGGACACTTGAGCTGATACACATAACCTTTAAAAATAAAAAATGTGAGTGCTTTTTGTGTTTTATGCTAAGAAACCAAGAAAATGTAGTTTCAGCTGAAGCCATTTAGCATAGCTGCAGCTGGAGTTGGGATTGAAAAGCAGCATTCAGGGGCAGAGCCAGATGGGTGGCCGGTGGGGGGACACTTGCCACCTCTGGTACCTGATTGTCCACCCCTTGTGCCACCCGCCAAATGATTGACAAGTATGGTGTGGTTTACATATGGCATTTAATATATGGGCATACAATGAGAAACCTTTTTTTGCTAGATGAGGGATGTCACCACTCATATACTGCTACATTAAATTTCAGCTCAGTATTTCTAAAAATAACTGAGTTGTAGCCATTTAGGATTAGCTTTAGAAGGCTTCTTGGATTTTGTATTTGAAATCAGATTTTGTTATATGTTTCGTCTTGGCTACTACCATGCTGATTTTCAGCTGTGTGTTTAAAAATGGTTACAGTATAAAATGTTTTTTTAATTAATTAGCATTAGCATTAGCAGACATCTTGGTTGGAACTAACAATCAACATGTTTTTTTTAAGATAATTCTTAGCCATTTCATAAATATCAGTGCTAACAGAAATTCAATTAGCAACCATTCTGTAATGGACACCAACTGCCTTTAATGAGAAAACTACCTAATAAAACAAAACTGACAAACAAACAAACAAACAAACAAACAAACAAACAAACAAACAAACAAACAAACAAACAAACAAACAAACAAACAAACAAACAAACAAACAAACAAACAAACAAACAAACAAACAAACAAACAAACAAACAAACAAACAAACAAACAAACAAAGGCATGCAGTTCAAATGGTAGAGCTGTTGCCTCTCAAATCCCAGTCGAGGAGCTTTCTGGCGTCTCTGTGCACACATGGGTTTCTTCCAGTTTCCTCCCACAGATTAAAAATATGAATGTTAGGCTAACTGATAATCCTAAATTGTGAGTGTGAATGGTTGGTCATCTAGTTTGTCTCTATGTGGCCCTGTGATGGACCCTGCCCCTCTCTTGCACCACCYCTGGCACTGTGATTTTTGGATATGTGTGACACTGTGACCTAAAAAAATAAGGAGCAGGTAAAGATGCTAGATGGATGTTTAAAAAAATCACTTTACATGTAAAATATACTTACACACTCTGATACAATCTTTGTTGAGGACCAGCTTCAGAAATTCAATATCAACAGTATAATTGAGTATTGTGAAAAATCAACTTTTTTGAGCTTTACATTGTGTTTTGTCTTTCCCTCATCAAAAACAGCATTGCTTTGGCTCATCCTTGTGGCACTGCCTCAACGCTTGCTGGTACAAAGCACCGCCTATTTACACAAAGCTCCTCCCTGTAGCTCAGTCCCCAGCCGAGCTCCCTCCTCACAGAGCACCTCTCCACCAAGCATTTTTGTGAAGATGTGCTGAAGATGGAGTGTCCAAAGCTTTGGGCATTTGTTTATGATGCAAAGTTAAAGTAACTTTTGATATATACAGCACTTTCATAACAGCTGAAAGTAACAGTTACTTGTGTGGAATAGAATTGAACTATGTGCCTGGAAAATACATATCACCCCACTTTAAAAAAACTCTCAGAAAATTTTTAGAAAGTCAATAAGGATATCAAATTGAAAATAATTAACTGAACCTAGCCTGGGGCTCAGTTTTCACTTCACCTTGAGAGAGACAAAGACACTTACTTCTCAAAGTTAAGCACTGACACACACACCTTTAAAAAGTATCAATCAACTAAAATTGTCTTGTGTAACTCGAAGAGCTAGTATGTTAACTATATTTAAACGCAAACTGGTACATTACGCACTGACAGGACATCAACATGTAAAACCTGAATGCACCAAACATTAGAAACACTTACTGCTTCATTTCCACAGTTCACGCTGTGTGTCTCCTGACTCTGGATTTGTTGAGTCCATCTCGGCACACCCCATCAGTTTATCTTCCTACTTCTGAGGCAGCTAACCATCTTCATTCAGAGGCTGTAATTGGGGGGGGGGGTTTGAAATCAACAACAACAAAAAAGGAGTGCTGGATGATGGGACTCACCCTGTTGTGCGGATGCACACAGTTCTGGCAGCCTGGCTGAATTGGCTGAGAACGTGTGGAGTTAATCCATGGATACAATGTTCCGAACACACCAGKGTGCCCTTTCATCCGTTTATGCTGCAGAGATTTCACAGAGACGACTTTATGTTTGTTTGCTGTCCCCGGTGCTCCTCTTTTACTCTGTGTTTCAAACACAAAGATGCAAGTGACTTCAGAAAGATCCAGTTGTTTAAGCTGTTTGATTTGTTGACATGTAATTGTGGTAAACAGCCTGAAGCTTATCCTTTTTATTGTTTTAGACACAAGTGGAAGAGAACTGGACATGCCAGGTGGTTAGTGACAAAATAAACAATTGCCTAACTAAATTGCTTTACAACTTCAAAGTAGCTAAAACGTTCAAAGCACACTCCAAACGTAACTAACATAATTCAAACAGAAATTGCATGCT